TAGCTAAACTTTTTTCCCAGTGTAATCTTATAAAAATCAAGATCCTTTTAAAGGAATGATGACATTTATATGGGACCGCAAAATTTGGCATCCAAATCGGTTCATTAAAAAGAAGTTATGCACGACAAAATGACAACATCCTTTATTTTTAAGCTATTAAAAAATGATACAAAAGTATTTTCATCATGCGTTTGATCCCAAATCTGGAGCCTTAGTTATTATCGAACGGATCCATATTACATACATATATAGTTGGGTTTCCGACAAGAACGAGCCACAATGGCCTCAGTATCAGTAGCTGATACCGCATTTTTTGTAGCGAACAAACGCCTAAGCAGCTTTTTACGAATAGCATTAAAGAACATAGGAACTGACGCCAGAGCCTAGTGCTCACATCCGCCTCTCGACAAAATATGTACTCGACGTTAGTAACGGCAAATTTGTAAAAATCGTTATCGTTTTTTATGTGCACTTACTTATTTATTAAATTGACCAATTGCTTACAATTTGATGTCTTAAAATATAGTACGTCAACAGCGAGTAAGTGGCAATTAATCCTAAGTAGTAGTAGTACGGGCGCAATACAAAAAGTTGTTCAACATAAACACCGAAACTCACTAACAGACTAAGGCTAAGTGCCAACGGCCAATGATTTTCGAAGGTAACCACTTTAATTGCACACCCCACGACGAGCAGTTGGACCCTGCTGCTGCCTTTGCTTCCGGTGCTTTGTTTTTTTTTGTTTTGGGTTGCAGTCGTTTGTCTGCCGATAAAATGTCGAAACGCCGCACTTACAAATGACTTAATGACTTCATAATTGAATAATGGCATGAACTGACTGCTGTGCCACTTTGACCCTGTAAATATGCCTCCAGTCACTTTCTTCCGCTCAGCGAATTTTGTGGCACACAAATATTCATACAAATTTACTTACTTTCGCAATTCGTGCGAATCATTCCTATATAAAATCAACGTTAAAATTGAAATTACAGTGGTGAAAACAGCGGTGAGTGCAAAATGTTGAGCACAAAATCAAAAACAACATAGAGCAATTGTATTCACACCATGAAGCATTTGTTAAATGCGAATTATTACCAACATTAAAGGCGTTGTAATGCTACAAAATATACACGCACACACATACACACATAACATATAATGGACTGTTATCGGCCAGCTGGAGGGCTGGCTGGCTAGCAAGTCATTCCGTTGGTAGTCGTATCGACGTTGACGCCGCTAGTCTGTATGTATGTACATATGTAGTCGCGTCGAGTGGAATAGAGGCCCCTTGGGGCAAATTATTACAGTTGTCGTTGCAGAATAGCTATAATAACAACAACGTTTGCATTAAATTTTTGGTACCGCTGCTTGACATGCTGGTGTGAATGGAGATGTGCCATTTAAAGAGTGTTAAAAGGTTGCGGACACCCATGGATTTTTGTCCTTTGAACGCTTTCCCTCCTCACTTGCCCCTTGGCTACTTGGCGCTGCTGTGCCGCTTTTGCTATTAATATAAAGCCTACGGCACGGAGTGAAGCTAACACAAATGATTGTGACCATAAATCAGGTACCGTTGACATGCGCTCCATCAGCCGCGGGTGTGTAAACGATGGGGGTCATGAGAAGTATACGTATGTATATGCCGCCCTTAAATGATGTCTCCTCGCAAAGCAGCTGGTGTTTTAAAGCCAAATAAATTTGTAATTCTCAGTTGTTCATTATTCTTGAGTAGCTACTCTTTAAATGCTGAATTGCGATGATTTTTTAAGGCTAATGAAACGAAACTGGGCCCTAACACATCATTTTCCTTTTGTGTAAAATTTTCAAGGATCGAAGCAAACATTCTGTTCTTCATGTATAATTTTTAATACATATATGAAATTTCTCACTCTCAATGATCTTTTTTTTTAATCTGCCTTCGAATAGCAGATCTATTGGAAGATCTTCTAATACAGCTTCCAAAATTGTATTTTTATTTTTTCAATAAAGCCCTGCCTGTTAGCGTTTCTTTAGAAGCGACCCTAATTTCGTCGACTGGCTCGCTATAAAGGACGAGAGACGTAGTCTGAGAACTTTCAGGATCAAGAAATGTTACCCACTTTAAATTCAATGCTTTTTTGATACTGATGACCAGGGAACGGATTTTCAGGACCTAAAAACCTATAAAAAAGGCAAAATAAAATAACGAAATTGGCTGGAAAAGGCAAAATAAAATAGCGAAAAAGGCAGGAAAAGGCACTAGGTGTTGCAAAAAAGGTAAAACAAAATAGCGAAAAAGGCAGGAAAGGCACTAGGTATTGCAAAAAAGCAAAATAAGGCACTACAAAAGTCAGAAAATACGAACAACAATCAAAAAATACATTTATTTTAGAAATGTATATATTAAAAGTAAAAAGAGAAAAACTATAAACTAGTTTCATTATATGAAAAATTTGTACTTTGAATCTTTTTATCCTTACGAGTTTCTAACTCATAAAACTTTAATCTGTATAGTTGTAGTAACATTGAACCACAAGATGCATTTTGAAGTTTTCTGGCAGCATTTTCATTCGATTTTCGCGCAGAAAAGCCTTGAATGTACTAAATATGCGCTCAAAGTAAGTTGATACAAGTGGAGCCCAATTTAAATATGGAACGTTTGAAACGTTCATATTATCAGGAATAAGGGCGTTTTTCTCGCCCTTTACAATTTTATCCACACCACTTATTGTCTCCAAGCCTACGTTAGCTGAGAAAACGGCTTTGAATTTTTCCAACACCAATTTGGCAAGAGGTCCCTGCGCTTCTATAAGCCGCATAGGCATGTGTATATTTTTTAATCTAAAAAAAAAATTGTAAATGCTATAATCGCTTTTTTAAAGGTAGAAAAGGCAAGAAAAGGCAAATATCTTAAAAAAGGCAAACAAAGGCTAATATCTTAAAAAAGGCAACATCAAATGTGTATATATAGAATCAGGGAAAGCTAAATCGTGGACATTCTTAATCGAATATACTCTATCTCTTTAGCAGAAAAAAAGGCAATTTCCATAAAATCTGTTCCCTGCTGATGCCAATATGATAGTATTAAGCTTCCACAAATCTGCTCGCATTCCGTCCCAAAATGTGTTACAGTAGCGGTACTACTTAGCCCCGCCAAGTTCGGTTTGCCCGTCAATCGTTGTCGTCAAGCTCAACTATTGTTGAGCCCAAGAAACGGGCTCTTTCCACGGTGTCGGATCAAAGGGAGATGGGTGTTAGTTGAGTGGGATTAAGCTGGCATGGGAAGAGGTGGTTGGTGTCGTGCGGGGAGTTTCCACATGTCCGACATTCATTAGATAGAGTCTGAACAGATAGCTGTTGAGACGGCTGCGTTATCCAGACCATAACTGCGCCAGAGTACTGCGGGTATCAATTGGCAGTTGAAGCTCCGTGTCTTCTATAGGGGGTGATTGGGCTCCGATTACGGAATTCATAGGTCGGAAGTCATGGTAAGTTGTGACCGACTCCCTACTCCTTACGCTGTACGTCTTCGGGTCCAGTGTTCAATGTATGTCTGGACCGCGTCCACGTATTTGAATAGATGCGCTCTGACGTGCCTGGGCGAAGGCTTCTCCTCGATCAAGGGTCTGTTGGGGTGCTCACGTCTGTGAAAACCCCTTCGGGAAGCACTGACCCCTAATCCCTAGAATTTTCGAGTTGTTCACCGTCGTAATTGGTGCCTGAACTCCTTCGTCCAGGTGGGGAAGACGGTTGCCGTTGACTTCGTTAGGGAGAGTGTAAAGCTCCTTGTAGTGAAGAAGCGAAAAAGGTCGAAGTGATAGCCATTTACTTTTGAGCAGAGGTCATCATTTCCATTCCCAGACGTCAATATGGAGCAGTCATCAGCGTATGAGTTCAGGGAAGTTCTTTCTGGTGGCTGAGGGAGTTGGGAAATCTAGAAGTTAAACAGTAACGAGGCGAGGACACCACCTTATTAAACCCCATGTTTAATTCTTCTTGAAGTTTGATCTCAGAAGATTACTGACGACTGTCGATCACTCACATAAATCGCCGACCACCGTTTGCGTCCCTGTGGAAGAGAGCAAGCCTCAATGTCTTCTAGTAGCAAGGATGACAAATGGTGCCAAACGCCTTTGACAAGTCCACTGCTACTAGGACTGTTCTCCGACAAGGGCGGCTGCGTTTAGCTCACGAGTTATCTTGGCTTTTATGGCGTTAAGTGTAAGGAGTAGCTGGGCCGCAAGTGTATTCGCAACCGGGGAAAGAAGTGTTTCCTGGTTTCCACTACTTCAACAATGGGACCACTCTCTCCGATTTCCACACATCGGGAATGATGAGAGTGATTATTGACAAGTTGAGCACCACGGTGAGATATGCTACTCCCGCGGGCCCAAAATTTTTCAGCATCAGCATGCAAATTTCGTCGGGTTAAATAGCTTTGGAAGTTTTCGCACTCCCAATGGCCACATTGACTTCAGCGCTGGTGAAGACTCCAGGAAACAAAATATCGACTAACAATAAGTCTGAAAGACGACGAGATATCAATCGTTAAGAGTACTCGTAAAAGGTACATACAGTAAGTATGTACTTTTGTATGTAAAGTAGGGGGAAGCTGTTCTATGTATATTCAGATAATACATAGAGTACGTACTAAAAATACTTAGAAGTGCAATCGCAAAATGTTCACCTTCATTATCGATTGACAAATAGATATTTTATTGCTCGTAAGCTCTTAAGTGTCTGATAACTAAATTTGATTTGAGCACTTCCGCTGGGCATTTAAATGATACGGTTAGACGAGTTAATTTCTTGTTAAAACCAAATTTAAATGCACAATTAAATAGACAGTAAAATCACCAAGTTCCTAGAAAGTGCACATCTTATCTAATCAATCTGATAACAAAATAGTGAACGCCACCAAAAACGCATCTGTTTATAAACGTCGTCGAATACTATTCGCTCAACAGTCTCTCCTCAACAATTCGCAATGTTTTGTTTACGTTTTTGCTGTGCCATCTTAGTTGCTGTATTTGCCACTTTCTGTTTGGCGAATGCACTGCAGAATGTCACCGATGGACCTCTAACGAAAAGTTCACTTGCCCGTTCAGTTTATGCATCTTCATTGCCGCGAAGTTGTGCAGAAGCATTCGCAGCCGCTCGTAGCAGAGCACAGAGTGGCATCTATCAGTTATACCTGCCAGAATGGTTTGAACACCCGTTCTACGTATACTGCCTAAAGGATCCTAATGGTGGCGATGCTTGGACAGTATTTCAGCGTCGCCAGGACGGATTGGTGAATTTTTATCGCACTTGGCGAGACTATCAAACTGGCTTTGGTAATTTGGATGGCAATTTCTTTATTGGCTTGGATAAGTTGCATGCCTTGACTCAAGTGGAGTTGCAAGAGTTGTGGATTGAAATGATGGATTATACGGGCACACATGTGCATGCGAATTATGAAAGTTTCGCTGTGGCCGACGAGGAGGAGAAGTATGCGCTGAATATTATAGGCAAATATTCGGGCACTGCCGGAGAGGCGCTAAAAGATTTTCATGATGGTCAAAAATTTAGTACTTTCGATGAGGATAACGATGAGTATGTGGACAACTGCGCCGAGGTTTGGAAAGGAGCTTGGTGGTACAAAGACTGTTGGTGGAGGTAGGCAATGCAATGAATTTTGTAGTTTTTCTTTCATTAAAGAACATACTAAAATTTCAGTAATTTGAATGGCATGTACAACAACTCATTATTTTGGAATGGACGCTTTCCAAACAATATGAAGTACACCCACATGGCTATAAGGCCGAAGAAACGGCTATAAATCACTTTATTGTGCAGCCAATGCTGAAATTAGTTGTTGAAATTAATTTCTTATTTTTGGAGTAACTAAGTTTGCTTCACTTACATATAAAAAAAAGACATAAATCATTAAATTAGAATCGTTTTATATATAACCCACGAATTTGCCAGCGCCAAATATGTTTTTTAGTTTCTATCGTTTACGAGAAGCGAATTATCAATTTCGTTTCTGGAACCTAGATTTGATCTTTACATTGTGGTTTTCTAAGAAATACCTGCTTATTTAATTTAAGAAAAGAGTTTCATACTTCTGGCAGCAAACCAAGGGAACCATTGCCGCGATTAAACGAAATATGTGTCTGAGGCCTGATGGATGGGAGAAGGAGGGGATAGCGTACAGAGAGACGGGTATCAGAGTCGGTGTGATACCCTCCACAATAAGATTGGACACCCAGACGTGCTATAAAGCCCGTTAAGGTGTTTCCCTCTTACAGGGCAATTCTGGCTAAGATAGTGAAAAGTCTTTCGTAAGACAAATGAAAGGCAGATGATAAGATAGTTCGAAAGACTTTTATTATTCTAGCACAAACATTTTTTGGAAAAAAAGGTCTTTCATTCACCACTCGTGGTGAAAATCTATTTTGAGAGAAATCATTTGTATATGAAGGGGTTAGAATCAAAAGGATCTAAGTAGATCTGAAATTTTTTTGAGATAATTAAGGTTAAAGTTGATTACTTATTGTAAATTCTGGGTAAATGCATTTGAAATGATTCTTGCCTAAATGAATGCAGGTTAATTAACTAATTCAAAGAATGTTTACTCTTTGCCACCAAATAAACACTATATTTTACTATACAAATATGGGTATAACTTATATTTTCAAACAATGTCACTTATACCCTTACGAGACTAACCCCTTCATATCATTTAGCTCGCGTGACTGCAATAGGCGCAGTGGCCGAATGGGCAGGGCACAGACGTGCCAATCGAGAAATCCGAGTTCGAGCCCTGATGCAGCGCAATTATTTTTTTAATATAAATTTTTTGTTTGTTAAATTTTTCCGACTTTTTATTTTTAAATATTTTTTAGTTTAATTTAATTTTTAGAAACTTATTTTATGAATTTTTCCTTCTTTCATAAATTTTTTTTTAAACTTTATTTAACGGTTTGGTTATTTTTCTAATATCATTTTAATTTTTGGAACCTTTTTTATTTTTTTCTTTTTTAAAATTTTAAAACTATTTAGTTAAATTTTCTTTCAATTTATATATTTTATTGTAGAAAACGGTTTTTTTTTTTAAACTTCATTTACTATTTAGAAATTTCTTTTATTTATTTATTCCTTTTTAAACTAAATTTGTTGTTTATTAATTTCATTTTTTTTAATTATTAGATATTATTTTTCTTTAAGAAAAATATATAGGAATATGAAGGTATATATTTTTTTTATTTCATTTAGTTTGGTGGGTCTTATTTATTTATTTATTTTAATTTTTAAATAATTTTAAATACAAATTTATAATCTTGTTTAATTTGAAAGTACTGCTTCCTTCTTTTTTGATAACATTATTTTCTTTTTCTAATTTAATTTTCTATTATTTATTAATTCTTTAAAAATAAAAATAATATATATATTTTTTTATTTAATTTACTTTAAAAAAAAATTAATGCTAAATGGCAAACAGCACAATGCTGTTATCGTTAGATCGTTAGCAGATCTTTCAATTAGTCTTTCGAAAGACAGTAAATTGCTTTCAAGCTAGTTTCCAGAATTGACAACTGTCTAACGAAAGACTCTTGTCAATCTAAAGACTGTGGTGAGTTGAAAGAGTGTTGCCAGATTTACCCTGTTAGCCATCTTTGCAAAAGTCGTACATAAAGCTTTTGCTGTGGAATTATAGGCAGAAATCACCCCAAAATTTTCTCGCTTATCACAACATCTAACCTTACCTGGCTGCTCATGATTTCCATTTCAATGATTTCGTAAAAACCGGCACTAATTTTCACTTCTGTCCTCATTTTACTTATCAGGCTTTTACCTCGCCATGGGCTAGCGCTAATTACTGAGTTTATTGTATAAGAAATTGATCCTCTAATTAAGTTTGTGGAACGGCGAGGCATAAACCCTTGTAGGAGCTTTAAAGAAAGTCGGAGTGGAACTTTTTATGGCACTGTATTCCTTATCCATTTCAGATATACTACTTTTAAAACTTAACCAAGCAAATACTTTTGCAACGATAACTTCTCTTGTACAATATTTTTATTTATTTATTTACCGTATGTGAATGCACCTACATACATATATACATATATACTTGTACATATGTATATTTATTTTTTAAAGCTACGTGCATAGAAGTCCACTTCATAAACCCACTCGATGTCAATTCTCTTACTCTATTCAATCTGCTAGCATGCCACACTTTGACGAT